ATATATTTATATATATTTATATCTAATTTTAAATCATAGCATCTCGTGTAGTAATGTGGTTAGTGTTTTTTTATACATTTGGTCTAGGTTCGAATCCCACATTTTATATCTATTTTTTTCAATTTAATTTTTTCGAGGCAATTTTAAGTCGAACACGAACAAAAATATTTAAATCGAGTCAAACACGAACACACTGTTCACGAGCCAATTTAGCCAATTTCATTTCGAACACGAGCTGATTTCGAACACGAACTATTTCGAACAAGCCGAACATGAGCCAAGCCTGAGCTTGCTCAAGCTCGGTTCGTTTACAACCCTACACATTACTAACAAAATTTGAATGGCACTTTATGCTATAACAGAGAATTATGAGTTAATGATTGGCATTAAACAACAGAAATGGTGGCATGAACTATGGAAAACATGTATGCGGGGACATTCAACCCTCTTAACAAGCAATATTTTGGACCATATGAACAGAACATATGACACCATAATTTAACCGCATGAAAAGCATAAATGAATTTCCCACATCAAGCAACAACAAGCACCTTACGAGCAGATGATCACTCTTATAAGATGAGCATGACATCATATGAACGTACAATTACGCTTTTATTTTTATGAATACAACAAATAAGTGTCGAATAATATGTGAGTTAAATAACACAACATATGCTAGATGCCCTACGACAAAATCACATTATGCCATTCTCAAGGCCATGGTTTGTAAGTCATATCATATATGTCATAAATACAGTACATCATTATGTTATGGTCACAGAGAGTCTCATATAACTTCATAGCATGCTTAGATAACCCAATAAAAGAATGCAACTAATCATGTAAATGGAAAATCATAAAGCACAGCATGTCAAATTAAGAGCATGTACCAGGTAGTCCAAAGGTACTTTAACACTTATTTGTTGTATTCTTTTTAGTCCAAAGGTACAAAAAGAATGCAACTACATTACACTAGAAGGCTCTTGCAACTACAATGACATAAAGTCTTTGTAGAAGGAGATCGCGTAGCATCCATGATGAATATGAAAGATTCAATACAAACAAATTTACAACATATAGAAACAAGTAACAACAAGCAATCACTAACGGTCACAAATATATAGATCACTGCAAATGGAAAATCATGTAGCGTTACTTGCATGTCATTTAATATGCATAGAAAAGTAGGAACAACAACATAAAACATGAAGGAACATGCATGCATCATAGCCCCATGCATACAAAATAATACATGTATTGCAAGTGAATTATTGTGCATCTGCTAGAAGAAAATCATCGAAAATGATCAATCCCTGCTGCATCAATGTGTTACACAGTTTCATATGCTACAGATAATGATTTTATACACAGAAAATTACTCAACATCAGACACAATAAAGTAAGATCGTATAAAAACACAGAACCATTACCATAATATTTCTGCTGAAAACTAAAGTAACCTCTAATCACAAATCAAATCAAGCATTCCTACGAGAGTTTATTTAAGATACAAAAAGATTAAAACTATGATTAAAGGACAAAGTCCTACCTTGAGCAGAGTATTTCCTCTAGCTTGACTCATTAATTAGACACTAAGCCTCTAGATTTTTCTCTCTCAAGATATCTCTCTACATTTTCCCATTGATTAGGACATGTTTAAATTTTGATGAGCAAATTGTGGTGCAAAATCATGAGAAAGTATGTCGCCTCTCATATAAATATAGCTAAAAAAGGTGTCAATGTCCAAATATTTTTATATGTAGTATGTACTATATTTAGAGATTTATAAATGAAAGGCTAATCAAATGATACAACAACAACAACAAAGCCTTAATCCCACTACGTGGGGTCGCGTGCATGAATCTTTTTTCTCCATTATGTTCTATTTAGTGTCATATTTTCATTTAGTTTTAATAAATTAAGATCATTTTTTATACAATAAGCCCAAGTCTTCCTAGGTCAACCTCTGCCTTTCTTAACATAAGTCAAATCTAGAACATTACTCTCCTAATCGAATCATCAGATGGTCGACGCTTAATATGACCAAACCATCTAAGACGACTTCCTCTAATTTTGTCCCTCACAAGAGCTACACCAACTTAATCAAATGATAAAGAATGAAAATTACAATAACTTGGAGGATCGAGTTGTTAAAAGAAACTGCACCAAACAAGTATGTTAGTCGAAACTAGAGGCCTTGACATGCATTTTGCTAACAGCCGATTCAAGGGGGGAGGGATGTTATGGTGAACCTTAAGTCATAAATGTGATGATGGTGCATCACAATCACCCCGACAATACTTCACAAGGTGATACCATTCAAGGGCTCTTAAAAAGTATTTAAGAATCAAATTTTGTGGGGAGTGGATGTGGAATGGGGAAAGAGAACATGCGAGTTTGACAAAGTTTGGAAGGGAATAAATATCGCTCGGTGGTTGTACCGGCTGAAAACAGCAATGATAGTGTCATAATGACATGGTCCGAATGTTGAAAAGGTTCACCACCTATTCCTGAGAAAGATACAAGTACAGCATTTGCAGAAGGAAAATGATATAACACTTCATTAGGTAGAACTAGAGATTGCAATCTCCAAAACTCATAAATAAAACAAAAGTCCCAAAAACAAAAAATAGCAAGATATAAATAGTCCCCAGCTAGAAAGAACCCCAAATTAGCTTTCAACAATAGCAAAAATAAAAATATCTTGTGTAAGAAAATCCAAGCGAGAAGCCTGCTGATGTCCCATGTCTTAATTATGCAAGAAAAATCCTACGAATCAACGTGATCCGATACCGCGATTTGAGGAAAATGTGGATTGCCATATTTAGCTTGTCCCCGACAGCGTTTCCCTTACGCGTGTGTGTCGTGTGTCACTAGGCTTCCCTAATTAATTTATGGTGACTCGGAAAATCATTATTGGGCTTGTTCAAACCTTACTAAACTGTGATGCGCCTAGTTCAAGTGTTCATAGACTGGTGCAAGCCCCAATATTTTAATATGTATGAGCATGATTGGACATTGATTTAGTAAAAACAAGTCAAGGAAAACTCCAATTTAATCCTTTTGACCTGCCTCAAGATCCCACATGCCACATCAAAATATTTACAAGATTAAATAGGAATATATATGATCCCTATAAACAAAAAAACATCAAACAACATTGATGCAATAAAAATCTATAATGGCATGTAGGCACAAAGCACACTATCACTGAGACAAGCCGATAAAATTAAACAAAGAACGCATAAGCATGAAAACGACTAATAACCATTGTGGTCTGCTAAGGGAAGTAACTTTTTCATATTACCACTAAAAAAAAATTAAACAAATTTCCAAATGTAAGCTAGCCTAGCATGGATTATGAGAAGTACAACAATAACAACAACAACAACAACAAACCTTTATCCTACTATGTGGGGTCGGCTACACGAATCCTTCTTCTCCTTTGTGTCCTATTCAGTGTCTTATTTTCATTTAATTCTAATAAAGTAAGATCATTTTTTATACAATATGAATTATGAAAAAGTAACTGCAAAAAAAAAAATAAATCTGGTTTTATAAAAAACAACAGAAACTAAGCACATACCACATATCCTCTGGTCCAAGGGGCTCTTCCTTCAGAAAGGTTTCCAAGCATGCATATAATGAAACAGGTTCGTGTGGTCTTCTTGTGAAGATGCTGCACTTGTAAATCTCAGGTAAGGAACTGAGAAGAGAAATTTCATAACCTTTTATTGTTTTGTTTTGCCAACAGACAAGCACATGCAGTTTCTTAAGAGGTGCCACCAACTCTGACTCATTCATTTCAATTAAGGATATCATCTTCTGGCTCTTTTCATCGGTTAAAAAGAATTGAAAATTATCACGGAGGGCTCCAGTACTTTCCCTTGCTTCTTCGGCGTCAATAACACCTATACTGCTAGCCAGATTAGTATCCATCTCAACAACTTCATCCAACGAATTGCTTTCATTGGCTTCATCAACACTAGAGGCAATAGCTGAGAATCGGAGAAATGGATTCAACAACTTCAGACAGAGGTTTTGAATTGCAACTCCAGAAGGAGGACCTATCAACCTTCCTATTAGAGGAACGCCAAGTACCTTCCAAATTGGAGGGAGAACACTGTGGATGTAACGTCTGGAAATACAAATCTTACCATTAGGGTAAAATCATACAAAAATATATATTTCTCCAACAGCAATATCTCGCCAATGGTCAGCATGCCTAGAAGCATCCCATACAAAGATAATAAAATTATCAAGGAGCTGCTTGAAGATAATAAAAAGGAAGTAATTATCCACGTAACGTCCAAATTTTATCTATTTCTAAAACCAGCGCACATCTATTTCTAAATACAATGATAACACACAAATCTCTAAAGAATTGAAAGAAAGTAAAATTTTTATTCTTGCTTTCATTAAATTCACATCGAATTTGGTTGTGGCATGTGCAATTATATGAATTTGTTAGTGTTTCTTCTTTAGGGGTTAGAGATAAAAGGAGGATTTGGGTTGCTTTTTCCTAGAAATAACTAAAATTTTTAAAACTGATAGATCTTATGGACTGCATAAAACTATTCAGTTGTGGCTTGACTATTAACACAGTTAACACAAGGTGATAATTAATTAGTCAGAAGAGGGAGACACTGAGGCAAAGGTACCACTTCAAAGAGAAGTTCACTAAGGCAAGTCTGACCTCATGACAGGAAAAGTCCAAAATTGTTTGTGTACGCGAAGAGTTGATACGGCGGGAAGCCATACTTAGCAGTGAGGTTCCCCACATCAGTAAATGTTGGTAGGTAGCAAGCATCAAATGCAGTCCAAAAAAGGTAAAATCCATAGCACCTAGATTAGAGGATCTCCAAGAAATCCTTATTCCAATGTGCAAGATGATTTGAAGCAAGCATTTCCTTCTCCTTAAGTCCCCAATATAAACGCAAATACAAGGATGATGGGTAAGATGTCCCCGCTAGAAAAGGTACACTAAATGCCTTCACACATCATACACATTAGCACACATTTTGAGCACTTTCGATCAGATGTTGGTCACTTTAAACATCATGCCTTGATGCACAGTCCCTTCACAAACAATAGAGAAACTATTTATAGCTTTCTAGACATTTAAAAAGAGATCTATAATGGTAAGATATATCCTTGATAAATGTAATCTCCAAGATGATTTCTTCAATGCTAGGTTCTACCATCTAATGTTTGTCTAAAAGTTAAACACTAACATCCTCGCAGTACACGTAGGTAACAAGATTTATTGTTTGTATAATTTTTAAATTTTCACATGCACTCACCAAATTGCATGTCCTGCCATCTATGGATTATTAAAATTTTAAACGTAAGCATCAATGCAATACATGCTAGGTCTCATCATATGCTATTGTTTGCATAAATGTACACAAATAATAGTTATGCAGTGCAATAGACTCCAGCCAGTGCAATGTCGGGAAGGGTTTGCTCAACACTATCTTAAATTCTTACTCTACAATGCATAAAGATTGTTTTAATGGATTTAGCCAGTAACCATCAGGTCAAAATAAAAGCAACTTAATCATTCCTTCAAAGCCACCCAGTAAACTTAAAAGTGAATTTTATATAATATTTTAAGGGTTAAAAGAATAATAAAAGTATAAAAACCCAAAGTATGTCCTACTTCAGGTTCAAGTATCTCTGACACATCAACTCATGTTCACAGTATGTATCCAGAATTTTCTACAAAAATTAAGGTTTCCATTAATTAGAATGAAAGCGGGCAACTTTATTGCCCAAGAAAGTTGAGAAATTTTGGGAAGTTAGATTAAGTTTCCGTGAACCTCACGCCTAACTTACTTGTCCACGGGCAAGATGATACTTTTGAGAATGAGAATGAGTAAAAGTACGAAATTAACATCTCCCACAGCAATAAATTGGAGTGCCCATTACAACAAAAACAAGCCTTTTATCGCACTAAGTGGGATCGGTTACATTGTTCTTTTTTCTCCATTGTGTCTTATTGATTGTCATATTTTCATTTAATTCTAATAACTTAAAGTGTCCATTAAAAAGATAAAATTCAACATTTATCACTAAGAAAATGCATCATGCTATTGGGCTTCAATCATCTTAAGTTAGGCCCTCATCACTCACAACTGCCACTTCAATCTCATAATGTCAAGTTACCTGCCTTAACATAGCTAGCTTCAACAACCCACATCTATCTAATTTTGATGTAATATAAGTTTTCCAAGGAGTTCAGATAAAAGCTCACTCATAAGCATTACAAAACTGGGCCACAGGAATCTTTGAAAAAGATTATTAATGAAAAGCCAATAATAAGGTTTGCAGTTTATGAACAAGTTCATGGATAGAGAAAACATACTCCTGCTCATGCTGGTGAGTAAACACAACCAAAGGGAGATCTTCCTTATCTTTAGGAAGCCGGTATGCTGCTAGCTGATCATCATCTCTAATTAAGGTAAGTACATCAGATGAATCCTCCAGGTAACGAATGATACGGTTAGCATAAACCTACAGAAAGCTTTAGTGAGCAAATACTGAAACCAGATTACACAACTAAATGCGATAGCATTTCAAAGTTGATTTTACAAAAATGACTGGGAAGGTCTGAGGCAACAGTTGGGTTGACTCCACTGTGGCTTAGAGGGCATGGGTAGAATCATAAAACAACCGTAACAATAAAGGGTAAGCTGACGTACACCATCCACTAGCTAGATCACACATTGGCTGGAGTCTCATAATAATATAAATAAAATTAAAAGAAAATTTTTACAAAATACCTCAGCTACTAGAAGGACTTCATCATTTCTCAGAAAACAAGCACAGCTTAAAGCATGTATAAGGTCCTTGCATCTTCCATCTTTAGGCACATTTACTGTATAAGAAGAAGGTTGAGCACTACCATCACCACTAAAGACTGTCACAGTCATTGGTCGGGTGGTAGATGAAGGAAGGGGCAAAGACAAGTACATGAATGGATCAAATGTGACAGACACCTTGTTGCAGAAAGGGCAAACTAATGTAGATCTGTATTGTCCCTGCAATGAAAAAAATGTCCCCAAATATAACATTTTACATGAACACAATGCATTGAGTAAAACTGTAGAGCAATAAAAGCTAAAAATGGTGAATCAGAAAATGAGAGAAATAAAACAATAGACTATTTATTGCAAAAATTTAAATAAAATAAAATTCCCTGGTTTTCTCAACCAAAATAACTCGTATATGGAATTGCAAAGGTTTTGCACAAAGGCTTTGTATCAACAATGCAAGCAAGTTTGCACAGAAAAAAGGATCCCCAAATACACCAACACTCACCTGACAGACATCCACTATGATAGAATCGTTTCGGGCCAAATGATTTTGCCAGTATTCATTGGCTACATCTTCATCCGGACGGTCATCTGAATCTTTAACTTCAACATATGGTTTGCACTTTACCCGATTTAGATCCTCGTGGAGACCATCTAACAAAAAAGCAAGTAGTTCCTACAAAACAACAGCACAAACAACTCAGCTTATTTCAGTACTTAAAAAATGGTCCTATTTGAAATCCTCCTGCCTCCATCAGGAGAAACTGTAACAAAAAACAATTATTATGAAAAGCATGGGAATAATAACATTAATAATGAAAAATGAATAAAAAGCACTTTGGTGTAGAGTAAGACCAAAGTATATTGTTCTCAAATGAGCTACAAGTGAATTTGATTTGAAAAGAAAAATGATTATGTATATGAGCTACAAGTGAATTTGATTGTTCTCAAATGAGCTACAAGTGAATTTGATTTGAAAAGAAAAATGATCATGTATATGAAGTTATATTAGGAAAGTAAAATTTTGATTATAGAAATGAGTAAGAAAATTTAGTTAAAATTTTATAAGTGATGTAGAAAATTTTAAATTAAAAGTTCTTAAATGTAGAAATGATAAATATTGTGTAACTATCTTTAGTAAAAGATATTGTATTTTTGAAAAATGTGGAAGGATTAGACTTTTATTTTTGAAAATTAAATTTCTTTTGTTAAAAATAATTTTCATAAACTATTATTATGTTTTTAAGTAAAAGAAAAATATCAACTCTTTGTTTTAGGAAAGGAAGAGTGGAATTCAAAACCATTAAAGGTCTATCTTGATATAGTAATCATTTCCAAATAAAGAGTAAAAAGACAAAAAGTTGAGAGCAAGATAAGCAATGACGCGTATAATGTGGAGACTGAATAATGAATAAAAAGCCTGGTTGGGTGCTCGATCGACTGGTTGCGCACCTCAGCGCCCGGCATAGTCCTCTAGAACTTAGCTCTTAAAAATTTGGCACCTAGTGCGGCACCTGGTGCAGCGTCCAAGCACTAAAAAGAACTTTCTCCATAACCAAAAATAGAAGAAAAGCACGTGGTAACTCTGCGCTTGGGGATGACACTTAGGGGCCTGGAACCGAAATGTGTAGTTCGGCCTTTAAAGGATCATCAGTGCACACTGAAGTTGGATTTTGCTAGTTCTCTCGTGAGGAAGATAGAAAGGAGTGTTCATGAGTTTCAAGAGGATAGAATGGTTTGAGTGTGGTGTAATCTGTATATTCTCCTAATTTCTTGAAACTAAATTTATTGGTGGGGTGGGGTTTCGTAGTTTTTTCCGTTCTCGGGTTTTTCAACATAAAATCTTGGTGTTTTCTGCATTTTATTATTTTGTGTATTTTTGTTCTAAGTTTTGTTTTGGATCCCTCAAATCGGTTTCCATTGTTTCCGCACAACAAGTGGTATCAAAGGGAGATTTTCTAATATCTTTGCTTTGAGTGGGAGCAATGGCTGACGAAGCAAGGTACAAAGTAAAGAAGTTCATCGGTTCAAACTTTGTTTTATAGAAAACACAAATTGATGGCTTATTGGATCAAAAGAAATTAAATTTGTCACTGGAATTACAAAGGAGCCTAAAAAGATGACTCTGGAAGAATGAAAAGTGTTTGATCGAACAACACTAGATTTGATCTATCTTTCATTTTCCTCATCTGTTGCTTTCAACATTGTGAATGAGAAAACTACAGTAAATCTCATGGTTGCATTAACAAGGATGTATGAGAAGCCTTCGGCTTCAAATAAAGGTTTATTAATGAAGAGTTTGATCAATATTAAGATGATGAATGATGGTTCAGTAACTAAGAACTTGAATAGCTTCAACAGGATAACTAATCAGTTGTGCTCTATTAGCATCAAGTTTGACAACGACATCGGGGCATGTTACTCCTATCTTTATTGCCATGCAGTTGGGATGGACTACTCACTGCAATGATTAACTATCTAGGTTAAATGAAGTTAAACTTTGATGATATTGAGGGGTTAGTGCTGAATGAAAATATCTGCAAGAAGCCAAGCGATGAAACTTCAAATTCTTCTTTGAATGTTGAAAAGCAAGAAAAAATTCAAGTCAAGGAAAGGAAAGCGCATGTCACGAAGAGAAAATGGTAGAGGTGAATGTGGAAGCTACGTGAAGAAATGTTACTTTAAGATGGACTGCAAAACTCCAAACGCTGGTGGTGGAGGTCCAAATAGGAAGCTCTTTATAAATATCACCATAGATAAAATTCAATGTGACTCTTATTTTGTCCCTAGATAGTACTTAATCTTGAATAATAGACTCAGATGTTTCTTTTCATGTATGCCCCAACAAGTGAATTTACAAGCTAAAAGAAGAGTAAGATGATAGCAAGCGCTACAAGGCGTGACTTTTTGTAAATAAGTTTCAGCAAAAGGAATGAGTGAACTACTCGAAGATATTTTCTCCTATATTAAATATGACAACTATTAGAGTTGTGTTGAGCTTAGTAACAAAGGAAAATCTACATCTAGAACAGATGGATGTGAGAACAACCTTTCTACATTATGTCATAGATGAGGAGTTGTATCTGGTGCAGTCGCAGGGTTATAAAATTTCAGGGAAAAAAAATTGCAAACTGACAAAGATCCTTTATGTTTTCAAGAAAAGCTCAGGCTGTGGGACAAGAGATTTTATAGGTTTGTGTCAGTGGATACATGAAGTGTTATGTACATCACTGTTATTTCATCAAATATTTTAATAATTGCTATATTATGCTTGTTTTGTATGTGAAATGTTGATTATAGGAGCAGATATGGAGAAGATCGTTGATTTCAAATAGCAATTATCAAGGGCATGTCACATGAAGGATTTAGGTTCAACCAAACAAATCCTCGATATGAGAATCTACATGAACAAGAGTGAAAGTTGAAACTATCACAGGCTGAATATGTTAAGAAGGTCCTATATGGGTTCATTATAAGTGAATTAAAACCAATTTGCACCCCATTAAGTAGTCACTTCAAGTTATTTAAGGAATAATCATCTAAGACTAATGTAGAGCAAATACAGATGAAAAAAAAAACCCTTACATTTCAACACTTAAAGTTTGATGTATGCAATGACAAGTCCAAGGCCAGATATTTCACATGCAGTGGGAGTAGTCAGCAAAAACGTGAGTAATCCAGGTAAACATCATTGAGAGGAGGATAAGTGGATTCTCACATACTTGAGAGAAACAATCAACAAGGCACTTTGTTTTGAAAGTGCATGAATTAACCTACAGAGACACGCAGATTCAGATCTGACGGTAGATTTGATGGTAAAAAAAATGCAGCATGTTATATCTTCACTTCAAAGAACAAAACAATTAGTTAGGTTTCAAGGTTACAGAAAATAGTTGCACTTTCTACTACATAAGTTAAGTACATTACTATCACTAATATTAACAATGTGATGATTTGGCTACAAGGCTTCATTACAGAAATGGGCAAGAAACGCGAGATTTGAAAGTTTTATAGTGACAGTATGAGTGTTATTCATCTAGAAAAAAATGTCACATTCCATTCCAAGACAAAACACATTCAACTAAGTATCGCTTCATTCGTTCACTACTAGAAGATGTCTATTTATCTTTAGAAAAGATAAATGCAGCTTAGAATCCTGCAGATATATTGACTAAGGTAGTTACAATTGATAAATTGACGCTATGCTTGGCTTAAATTGGTGTTCATGAAAATTGGTATAAGGAGATTAGCCACTTTGCAGTACACAACTATCAAGATTGTGCAATTTTGGAAGAAAGGTAATTGCAATCAGTCTCCCAAGTGGTAGATTGTATTATGTGGATGTTGATTGCATTTAGAAAAAATCGCACCCAACACTTCACTGAGGGCCAGTTCGTCTAGCTGGGCACCCCAACACCTAGCAGATTCCTCTAAAAATGAGAACTTAATAATCAGAGCATGGTGTGGCGACTAAACACCCAGGAGAGGCACAATTGCACCCAGATACGCTCCTTTCCAGTGTCGGGGCCTAGGTACCTTTAATTGAAATGTGCAGTCCAGCTTTTAAAGGATCTTCTTCGCTGTTGGATTTGAGTGCACGCTAAAGCTAAATTTTGTGAGTTTTCTTTCAAGGTAGATAAGAAGGAGTGTTCGTGAGTTTTAGGAGTGTATAGAGATTTGAATGTGATGTAATTTGTGCTTTCTCCTCTTTTTTTCAATGATATTTTTGATGTTGTGTAGCTCTGTGATTTTTTTCCATTCTCGAATTTTTATTACTTATAAGAGTGGATCTAATAAAACACAAATTGATTATTTTCTTATGAGAAGAAGAGATCGTCGTGATTGTAGTGATTGTAATGATTGTAAAGTCATTCCAAGTGAAAATTTAAATACCCAACATCGTTTATTAGTTTTAGATTTTAAGATTAAGAGTTGTAAAATAAAAAATATTAGGACTCATCATTGCAGAATTAGATGGAGAAACTTAAAAGATACAAATAAAATTAATTTTATGAGTAAAATTCAAGATTTCAAAATTTGGGATATTCATGAAGAAGCAAATGTGATGTGGGATAAATTAATAAACGTTATTAAACATGTAGCAAAAGATGTTCATGGAGAATCAAAGGGAAAAATATTTACAAATAAAAATAGTTGGTGGTGGAATAATAATGTGCAAGAAAAGATAAAATATAAGAAGTTATGTTATAAAAATTGGTTTAAATGTAAAAGCTTAGAGAATTGGAGAAAATATCAAACGGCTCGCAGGGAGTCTAAAAGAACATTCTGTGATGCTAAAAATTTTGCTTTTAATGATCTTTATAATAGATTTGATACTAAGAAGGGTGAAAAATATATGTATAAACTAGCCAAACAAAGAGAAAAGAAAAGTAAAGATTTAACTCAAGTAAAGTGTATTAAAGATGAAAATCAAAAAGTACTTTTCTTAGAAAAAGATATTCAACATAGGTGGGTGAGTTACTTTGATAAACTTTTTAATGAAGTTTCTGAAAATACAATCGACCTTAGTGATTTTTATATCGTGAATAATAATAAAACGTTTCATTTTTACCGTCGCATTAGCAAAAAAGAAGTTGAGGAGGCTTTAAAGAAAACCAAGGGTGGAAAGTCTGTAGGACCTGATGATATCCCAATTGAAGTGTGGAAATATTTGGG